ATTTGTGGAGGACAGATTCAGGCTTCAGGGTTGAAACGATCAGACAGGAGAGACCATAACACCAGACCCCGGAGCCCCATCTCTGGGTGGGCAACATAGGGGTTCCAACCATCCAAAATGAGAGAAAAGGCACTTATTTCTTTGTGTGTTTGATATGGGAATTCTTTCTACTAGGCTCTGAGTTCCTTGAGATCTGGGACTGCTTTATTCAGTTTTGCCTGGGACCTAGCACAATGTAGGAGCTACGTAAATGCAGAATTGAAATACAGTTGAATTGAAGACAGACAAAATGATCAATCAAAATGCAAAGTTTTAACTTGTCCTGTCCCTCTGTTCAGATCTCAGATCTATTCAGATTCTCTCTCTCTCCCCCCCTTCTCTCTCCCCCCTTATGAGGGGTAATTAATAACTTAGCAAACAATCATGCATTCTGATGGTTAAGAATATAATAACTTAATTGATATGTGTTTCTTCAGCAGCACAATATCTCATTTTCCCAGGAGGGCCATTTTCCATGGCCATTTGAGGTTTCTCACAGTAAAACAGATCAGTCTTGAGGATAACTAAAGGCTGTTTGTTAAGAAAGAAAGATGATGGGCAATAGATTTGTAACAGACACAATACTGAAGTCATTATGTTTTAAACACTGACATTTATTTAGGGTTTTGTGAACTCACACATTATGAGGATAAATTCTAATTTATAACGGTATATAATAGGCAAATATATAATACAGTAAATTGCATTTGTACACATAAATACAAAATTTGAGGTAGGGCCTCAAGAATAATGACTTCTTAAATGAATAATGTGCAGTATATAATATGTACTCTATAAGATATATATATATATGATGAATCATTTGTAACACAATATATTTTCTTCATGTACAGTTAATGAAAAAATATAAGGACCTGATTTGGGAACATATATTTATACATGGGCAACAATACCCACATAAGACGCGCCTAAATTTAGGACATTAGCCAAGTACATAATGTGAGAATTAACCTATTCCTCGATACGTCCATAATAAAGTGCAAAAAAAGACCAACGAATGAGACACAAAATAGTTTTTAGTCAATTACTAAGTATCCTCCTAACAATAAAATACACCTATAAGGCAAATGGTTACCTGAAGATGTATTTAACCCACAGCAGGCAAATCAAACCACTGCTTGCTTTTCAGAGGTGATGGATATCCAGCCTGAAAACACGTTCTCTTTGGCTGCAGGCTGTTCAAGGCAACCTGAGCAGGCAACCACATTTCCAAATTACTTGGCCTTTCTGGATAATGGAAGCAAAATCTGAGAAAGATAGGAAGCTTCACTTCCACAAGCCCTAAAGCCACTTTGTGGGGGAATGGGTCTCGAGACCCAATCACCCAAACCTTGGCTCCCAGCCTGGAAGCTTTCTTCATGATACTCTGGGTGAAAGAGAGGGAAATGCTCATCTGTTGACCTGGCCTTCTGTCCTTGCAAAACACCCTGCCACATGGCAGGTCCCCTCGAGTCATCAGCCTCAAAGAAGCAGGTGGCAAACCCAAATCCAGGCGCGACAGCAGCAGTATGATCTTGCCATCACACGTATGCTAAGCAAGAGTTATTGTGCTACCCTCTGGGAAGAGGACAATGACCTACGGCCAAGGGGACACTCGGGAAAGAAAAATCTTACTTTTAGGCATGGGGAAAACCATGCTGGTAGTGAAGGTGGTCAGGAAGCACTGAGGAACACATAGAGAGAGAACAAGAACCTAATTAAAGGAAAACTCAACTCCAATGCAACGTTAGCATAAAGACAACCCACATCTTACCCATTTCAAGGTTATTGTGTTAAACTCTTTTTAAAGTGCTGCTCACTGAAATACAAGTGGATTACATTTCTTATATACTAAAAACGCATTGCAAATTCCAAAGATGCTGAGGTCATCGAGATTTTTGCATTGACCACAGACATCATGCAATACGTAAACATAAGAAAAAGAAGAAATAACCAAAGACCAGAATTAGATATACTTGTACACGACAAACACAGCCCTAAAGAGACTAAAAGTGACTAACAGGCAAGACAAACATTTGCATAAGAAGTCACAACACCAATTGTTAAGAAATATACATTTTTTTTCTTCATTAAAGATATTACAGGGTTACTGTTTTTCACATATGGCTTTTTTTTTTCTCTGAATGAGTTTCTGGCATTTGTTGGTGTTATGAAATAATCTCACAAGTGGAAAATGTTCCAACATTCTACACAACGAGCCAGGGAAAGTCTTTCCTCAGCAACTCAGTTTTTTCCCAGTCTGAAGGGAAATTCTCAGGTGGCAGTTTACAATGCTATTCATTTTATTCATTTCGTTCAGTTTTTCTTCCAAATGATTGTATATTTTAACAGCATGGAAGCAGTCCATCTGGTAGTATGCATCTTAGCTCTTAGCATCCCAGCTAAGTCCATGAGAGGCGTTGCATGGTATACAAGATGACCAGAAACAGCTCAGACACTGAACGTATCTCTGCCAGGGAGAGCCTCAAAGTTGAACATGGCTACAGAAAACTAAATTTACAAAGTAACCATCTCCAGGGAAGTGTGGAGCCTTTCACCTGAGTATGGCCCTTTAAGTACATATTATATAGAACTTGGAAATTGTAGGGAAAAGAAAACAAAAACAAAAACAGCTGCTCTGGAAGCAGCTACAGGTCTTACCTGAACAAATCCTAATTAACACAAATGTAGACGCCCCCAAATACAACACACGCCAGAGAATGGGGAAGTCTCTCTCCGTTCTCACAATTACGTTAATCTTTAGTTTGTCCAAAACAAGCCTGGGAGCATCCACAGGGTCCCTCCCCTGACCTCCTTTTAATCACAGCAGCAATAATTAGCAGAAATTGAGTTGGCTTCTAGCATCAGACTCGAGATTTAGCCAAGAGATGAGAGGAAAGCCAACAATCATTCATCCTGACACAAATATACCCGGTCCCATGAGAGAATGCTAATTGATTTAAGCTCTTTTCCTCAGCGTTCGAATTGGAAAGGCTGAACCAGGCCTGAGTTATTCCTCCCCGCCTCTCACTCCACTAAATATCAATCAGAGAGGTTAATTTTTGGTAACCTTCTATGACATCTGCTACAGTAATTGGGGGCTTCTCATCCATATGGCTTTCTTGGGGAAACTTGTATCCATGGCAGACAGGTGAGGCTACAGCTCATCCTCCTAAAGGTAAGTTTAGGAGGAGCTCAGGGCTCAGTTCCTGTGATAGATTCTAGCAAGTTCCAGCTTTGAACACGAGGGTAAAGGGGTAAAAGCAGGGAGGAGAACAAACACATACTGCAGACAATAGACACAAAAAACCTAAAGCTCAAAACACATCTTCGGTTCCTTTTCTAAAACCTTTCACAAGCTACTCTTGGAAACAAGAAGTCCACATCGGTGTTGGCAAATGGCAATGACACTTGCCCTAGAAAAGGAAGAGTTCAGTAAAATGAGTTGAGACTTTTGTTTTTTTAAGCAAATGAAGTCATTCATTGTTTTTTTTAAATGCATTAAAGTCAGTTGTTGAGTTACACTGCTATTAAATAGGATGAAAATGTCATATCTATGTATAAGGTTTGAACCGAAAACTTTGCCTGAGACCCTGCAGTTTGAAGACAAATGAATAAAAAGATATTGAAATGATCTCCCCTAAAGGAAACAATTTTAGGTTTAGATATTATTACTTTAAGGAGGAAAAAAATCCAGACTACACTATTCTAAACTCACCATCTCTACAGTAATTCATAAGATATTTCTAAGGACAGAAAACACCACTACAAGTACACACTACATGAACATATATCACATTTTTAAAATTTCATATGTGCATGTTCAGGATACAAGAAGATAATAAAGGTTATGCTTCGCCAGTCTCTACAGACATATGATTCACTCTCATTAGAATACAATTGCAATGAGTATTGTGAATAGGAAGCTCTTAAAATTGAATTAGCTAAATGTGGTCTTAAAAGCTATAGTCTTAATTGGCTCACTCGTTACTTACCTAAGCTGCATTTATCAGAAATTTCTGTAAATACAGTCTCCTAAAATGTACTACCCGTACAATGAATATTGTGATTGCTTTCTATCACACTCTCTGTTTATTTGATTTCTCTGTGACCACAACTGGCATTTACTGTGAATGAAAAAGTTAAGAGTCAAAATTGACAAGTTATCTGTCTCTTAAGAGTTTGTGTCCTATATATATAATATATAGACAGAACCAGGGTAAGTCTTGTTTTCCCAGAGGTTGAAAGACAAGGTATCTACAGCTTATAGAAAGACATTTAGAGAAGAAACACAGGTTCATGATATTGAACCATGGTGTTAAATGTCATGTCAACACTAGCATGAGCTCAACTATGAAGCACAAAATTAGGCACAAATGATAAGATGGTTTCTTGTGCAGAGGTGAAGAAAATGACCAAAAGAACTCACAAATGTGGTTATTTAAAAAAAGAAACAAACAAACAAACAAAAAAAGGCAGCTGAGGGACAAGAACTGGCACTTCACTTAGACTCCCAGTGTGCAGAGAGAGAAGCATCTGAATTCATGGTACACATGAGATGACTGGTCCCAATAAAGGAAACAGATCCCCAGCTGTGACTGGAGAGATCAATTTAACCACCTCAGAGGCGTCCAAATCTTACCTCCAAAACATCTTCTGACCACTGCTGACCCTCTGAACGTACCCTGTCTTGAACCCTTTGTTGTCTGAACAAGATCACTACATTGCTCAGCTCAGTTCTAAATGCTGACAAGTCCAAATTAACAGTCTTGTAATTTTGTCACTCTACAGATGCCTTCCTGGCACTCCCATGACAATGCACAGTGAATACTTTGCCACAGACCAAACCAGGCGTCTCTGCCAGCACTCACCTGGCTGATCTGCCCCTGCAAGGTAAAACACGAACTCAGGAGATCAACCCTACCCGAAAGGGACACCATGGACACAGGCAAACAGCGTGCCAAGTGGTCTGTCTAGCTCTTCACTATGGCATGCGACACTATGGTCTACTTTTCTACAGAACCACTGTCATGCACGGATGTGAACAGAGATGGGGGTGAGAAAGAAGAAGAAGAATAAGAGGAAGCCGGGGAGAATGTGAGGAGGAGGCAGAGAAGAAAGACAGGATCGAGTCTGGGCCATCCCACATCATTGGACTAGCATTGCGTGCCCAGTTCCAGATCCTTCACTGGCAGCTTGAGTCCCAGGGAAGAGGTTCCCAATGGGTCAATCATGTTCTTGTAACGCTCCCCGCGGTGCTGAGCTAAGAACGGGCCCCAGTCCGGCTGTGGCGAGCACACCAGCTTCAGCCTCTGCAAAGAAGACAAAAACAACATGGTCACAGAAGTGATGCATCTTCCCCCCTAAGGACCACCCACTCATCCACAAGCTGCTTGTTACCACTTTGACCAGAGCCCCTGCTCGAGCCAAGAGGTGCCCTACCAAGAGAAGTCGTTAGGAAGATCAGCTCCCACTAATAAACTAAGACAGGGATGTTAAAGAGGATGCTTACTTTGGTTCACTTGAAATTATTTACATCACCCTGCAAGCAATATTGTAATCGTTCCGTGTTTGCCTTGCACAAGATTAATAGAGGATAAGGGGCCCAGGTTTTAATTATACGTTTTTTTCCCCTCCAAATTAAGAGAATCTGCAAGCCTCTCTCACCACTGCCAAACACAGTCTGCAAAAGACATGTGCTCAATTACTTTTGTTCTGTAGTCTCAACAGTGGGTTGCTACATCAAAATAATTGGATTTTGTTTAGCGTATTTCCCAAAAGTAGATAAATGACCAGGAGAAAAAAGAAACACCCAGCCCCAAAGATACATTGCCAAGAGTGAGCAAAGATTTTAATTATCTGTTGACAAAATATAGGCTTCTGACTTGGTTCAGTAGTGTGAGTTCTTAAAGACAAGCTGAAAATAATGGGAATGTCTCTCATCCTTCAACTGAAATTTTTATGGAAACATAATTTGCCTGGAACATTTTCTATAAAGAGGAAAGAAAACATATTTCTGGCTACGTAAGAGGGAACAATTATATGTTTATTACCTATTAAAGGGAAGCTGGTTCTTAGAGCTGTTGGTTTAATCTTTCCTTAATCATCAGTTTGCAACCTTTGTGTCCCAAATCAACCATAATAAATTTATAGAGCCGACTCATCAGTTTAGAGAATTTCAGCCTAAGATAAAAGTAGCAGAGGCTAAGCCGGGTTCTATGCAGAGGGAAAGAGATTTCTGGGTCAGCTGGTGAGGAGGTTTATCTGGGGCAGCAGTGAGCCATCCCTGGGGGGCCAGTGGGGCCAGTCACTTACCTCAAGGGAATAACACACAGAATTTCCTGAGGATGGAAACTGGAATACAGCTTCTGTAAGAAGACTGCTATACCTTCCTTTCCTAATGCTGTCTCTCCCATTCGTCCAATGAAAACAAGCTCTCCCCTCGCCAAGAGGACATTTGTGTTGTGTACGTGGGTCTGATTCCATCCCAGTGGGATGCTCCAGGGGCCTCAGTGGGATGCTCCAGGGGCCTCTTGCTTTTTCAACCCCGCTGACCAAGAGCAAAGTCCAGACAGCTGTTCTTCTCTGCCCTCCATCACCCAGTCTAATCCAGTGCTTCTCAAACAGAGATGCTTGTTAAACTACAGATGCCGGAGTCCCACTTCCCCAAGATTCTGGTTCAGTGAAGCTGCCTGGAGCCTCCTCATTTGCATTACCAGCAAGCTCACAGGTGGGATGATGCTGCTGCCTTCTGGACCAGACCCTAAGTAGCCCTGATCTAGTCCACACTGCCAGATCAAGACGGAGGCAGAGCTGAGTGATTTCTAGCATACTAAGCAAGTGGCTTCTCATAAATGACTTCTCATAAATGACTTCTCATAAATGACTTCTCATATCATGTATCACTGATAATACAAGTGGCATTGAGGAGGGCGGGGATGCTTTGCATTAGAAATGGGAAATAGGTCCAGCAAGGGATGAACTGACAAAGAAAGGCAAGTCTCACCTCATACCACCATTGAAACTTTCATTACATTCTACAGGAATGGTGACATGTTAATGAGCTTGGACCCCCTCGACCATCCCTGACCCAGGCACAACAGGAGGTGGTAGTGATTTTAAGTTGCATAGGTGTTTGGGAGGAAGGGGGCTTGGACAGAGAGGAGCATCAGCAAAGCAGGACTCTGATGTGTGGTTAAAAACCAAACACTGAGATTTAAACTGTGGATGAGGAAAGAGGAGGAGGAAACTCCAGGGAAGAGGAAACACTCGGATTACTGATTCCCCAGAGCTGTCACCACACTGAGAAATAGCATAATAACAGTTCTGTTTTTGGATTGGCTGAGCCCTTCCATTAGAGGAATAATACATAATGAAAATGGGTTTAATAGAAACGGTGGCAACTGTAATCACTTAATCACCCAGTCTCCCTCTTGAATAAGTTTACCGAATCTTCTGTTTCTTAATGCACAGAGTTTCAGGGGCTCTCCCTTGGGAGGGAGTGGGGAAAGGGGTGGATAGAATTACCTCAATAAATCTGCCAGGAGCCAGATGCATTTTTATCACAAACATAATTGGGATCCAGATAACAGAACAGGCGAGCATCAGCCATCCAAGCACCATGGACCAGTTAGGGTAGCGGTAAGAGCCATAGGTCATGGGCTCCCACTGGTAAAAGCTGAAGCAAAGGATAAACTGGAAAAAAATAAGATAAAATAAAAAGCAACACACATGTTAGGTGGTAATGTGAATCATTCATTCCATTCATTCATTCAGCAATATTAAACCTGTTATGAATTTGATGCTTGTGTATCTGTTATTTTATTTCACACCCATGAAAAGGTCGTGTTTGTAATCCAATTTTTAAATGAAGAAATTGAATTTCAAACAGATGAAGACGACGCGTGTTCAGCTGCTGCCCCTGCATCTGCCGCCCTATGGGATACGTGTTCGTGTGCGCACATCCAGAGAGGCTAAGACAAGCTCAAAGGATGTATACCAAGGTGACTCATGGGTGGATGGGGGAGTGGGCGTTTGTTGGCAGTTGTCTGTACTTTCCACAATGGATAATCAAGCTTTTTGTTTAAGAAAGAAGCCCATTATGTTTATGTATCTCTCTTTTTTTTTTTCTTTTTAGAGTTGGAGTCTCACTCCATCGCCCAGGTTAGAGTGCAGTGGCACACTCATGGCCACCCCAGCGTCAACCTGCTGGGCTCCAAAGATCCTTCTGTCTCAGCCCTCCAAGTAGCCGAAACTACAGGCGTGTGCTACCATGCCCAGCAAATTATTTTTTTATTTATTCTAGAGACGAGGTCTTGCCAAGTTGCCCAGGCTGGTCTCGAGCCCACGGGCTCAGGTGATCCACTTGCCTCAGCCTCCCAAAGTGCTGGGACTACAGGCTGAGCCACCGAGCCCAGTATTTCCATTTTTAAGAAATTGAATCTGTGTTGCTTTCTCCTTAAACGGAGAATGACCCACGTTCAGGAGCTGCCCTGGAAGTTGGCTGAGTGAGACCCAGAGTGTCCCCAGGCAGTGACTGAGCCGGAAGCTTGGTCCTATAATAAGCCCTGGCACAAAGAGAAGGGGTGCACAGCTCTCCCCCAATGACTCAAGGTGAACAGGCATCAAAACCAAAGAGTAAGCTGCGGGCCCAGAGACCAGCAATGAATTTTGGCTCTACCACTAATTAACTGAGGGACTTTGATGTCTCAGACTTCTCTGCTATAAAAGGGATATATTTTACTCTGTGTATACAACACGGGGCTTTTGTGGGAACAATGGTCTGGTATTTGCTCACGAGTCCTTCTCAATTTTAACAGAAGTCGTGACATGTGTTCTGCCCATTATCTCCTATCACTGCACATGTGAGCTGGCGATGGCCCTGAGACCCTTCCAAAGGTTTGGCCTTTGTGAGAGGCTGCCTTCGGCTTCAGTGAATTTTTTTGGACATTTTTTCAATGCATTTGCCTGTTTCATGATGCATGATTTACGAACGCCTACCCAAACCTCCTTGACCAAAAACAGCATGAATCCTCTGCCCCTCCCTCCCTATTCACCCAATCTCACCACAAGTGCCTTTTTATGTATTTGTTTCACTTCCCCAGATTAAAAAGTCCTCAAAGACAACGTTTTTTGCCAATGTGGAAGAGGTGAAACAAAAAATGGCAGAAGCTCTAAAAGGCATCAAAATTAAGGAGTACAAAAATTGTTTTGAGCAGTGGAAAGAGCATCTTGATAGGTATATTGTATCAAACAGAGACTACTTTGAAGGTGACTGAAGTTTAAACACATAAATAAATACACGATTTTTTATAAATAAATGTCGGGTTTTTTGGGTTTCCCCTCATAAGTCCTTTCCCCCTCCCCACCTCTCTTGTGCTATCTGAAGCCATAAAATAACTGCCCAAAAATAATTGGAAGGAATTATGTCAGGAAAGATAATATATGCATGTGTTTTAGAAAAGCACAAAGAGATGCAGGAGCAAAACGTTTCTCTATTCCTGCCACAAAGCCCAGGCTGCTGGGGCAAGTGATTATTTCTGTGCAACAATAATTCACTATATGGATTGAAAGCGACATGAGCCCAAAGACAACTATTGAAAAAAAGCTTCTGTGGAAAGAGATGTCTACTCTGGGCCCCCTTTTAAACATTTGCCCCTAGAGTTACAAGCTTTATTAACCAGTCTATTGGAAGTATGGCCTAATGTAATTATGGTAAGCTGCTCCATTTCATTTACTATATAAATAGCAATACATCTGCTTATGTGTGTGCATAACTCAGTAACGTGACTTGACTACGTATACAATAATTGCGTGGAGAATATTTATCGCTCTATAAATCCACGAAGGCACATATAAAAATGATCAATTTCATTTCAGGGGCTCTGAAGTAATTTAAACCCATAATCCTAGCCTATTCCAGCATGCCACAAATATCCATTTTATGGAAGGGCAAGTGGCAAAAAAAATAAGTGTTGGGCTTGGTCCCTGGACATCTATTTCCAGTTGCACAAATATCACATCAAGCTTATCCGTGCAAACTTGTTCTTTGCCATAAATTTTCCTCTGCCGAGTCAACGTTGATAAAAGCTCGCCCTTGAATGGGCCTGACCATGAGAGGTAATTTTTGCCACTGAGTCAAACCCACCCCAACCTGATGTCTGCCAAAGGAGATGCTGGAGAGGGACTCGTCAGTTGACCATGGTGATGGAATGAACCCCTTCTCATTGTTCCTAGTTCCCAAACAACACAAAGGTGATCTGGTTCAGGATATTTCTGGGACCTCTCCACAACTTTCTGATGTGAGTTCTATCATGGAAGCCAAGTAAAGCACAGCACTGTTGAAGACCCTTCTCAAAAAACACAGCAAGTCCCTGGAATTCCTCTTCCCTGACATTCTGCTCATAAAGAAGATTAGGATTACTTTAGTCTAAAACTGGCCAAACTCCACTCGGGGATACAAACACTGGGTTTTTAGATAGGTATTACAGCATGGGCTTGAAACCTAGACATCCCTGGATTTAATTCTTGGCTCTGCCACTTGCAAACCTTGTGTCCTCAGGCAAGTTCCTCAACCACTCCAAGTCTCAGTGCACACATCTGTAAAATGGGGAAAGAATGACCTAGAAGGCCGAATGGTCATGAACTTTAGAAACTATGTCTGTGAAGTGCTCTGCCTCATAATATGCCTCAGCAAATAATAGCATGGATTATCACTGTGTGATGTGTTTCTGCAGAATATAATAAAATTATCTCAAGCTTGATGTCTTTTAGAGCAGGGAGAAAGGAGGGGAGAAGCTAGAAGAGATTCCGACTTTAATTTCAGCCAAGAACAAATCATCTGTCACAGCAACTGGGGAAAACGGTAAAGGTCACTTGGGACAGGGAACATCAGAGGCTTGAGAGTCTCTGTCAGCAGAATGTTCTCGGAAGGCACTTAACTTCCCACCAATCAGATAAATCCGAGTTCTCTGTACACATTTCAGTCCTGAATTCAAGAGATAGAAAGCCCATTTTAATCCTTCTCAACTCTCATGCCCTAAATCTGCTGGGAGCTTTCAGACAAATTCCAGCCTCTAGAAGATGGGAACAGACGTGGACCTCGGTGTGATGTCTGTGTCAATGCAGAGGGAGTTAAGTGCTGGATGGTTTTTCTGTCTTAACTTCTAGCTTTTCAGAAAGAAATTTAGATATTTTGATGAAAACTCACCCTATGACGTTTGGATTTTAAGAAAGAAAGGAAGAAAAGAAAGAAAGGAAGAAGGAAGGAAGGAAGGAAGGGGGGAGAGAGAGAGTGAGAGAGAAAGAAAGAAAGAAAGAAAGACAGAAAGAGAGAGAGAAAGAAAGAAAGAAAGAGAAAGAAGGAAGGAAGGAAGGAAGGAAGGAAGGAAGGAAGGAAGGAAGGAAGGAAGGAAGGAAAGAAAGAAAGAAAGAAAGAAAGAAAGAAAGAAAGAAAGAAAGAAAGAAAGAAAGAAAGAAAGAAAGAAAGAAAGAAATTTTCTTTGCAATTATACTTTTCTCCTGTCTTGTTTTCCTTTAGAGACAGTGGCGCTGTGTAGTAAAGCAAAGGTCTTAATCTGGTTTCTAATGCCACCTACTGGCAAAAGCAGGAATTACATCCAGCTTCCTTCAGCCTTCCAACATGACACCTGCAACCCTGAGAGTGAGGGTAAGGACAAGAATTTTTCCCAAGACGGATCACTATGCTGGGAGTGTCGAGTGGAGCAAAGTTGGCAGCCTGTGGCACAAAATCAAAGGTGACTAAATGTGATTGTAAGTCTCTAATGTGGATTTACCGATACATGAAAGTCTCTGATCTTTAGATGATTCCAAAATCATGATTCCAAAATCAACACATGCGAGGATGACAAGGTGATCCTTGAAAGCAATAAAACTGGGCCGGGCTCGGTGGCTCAGCCTGTCATCCCAGCACTTTGGGAGGCAGAGACGGGTAGATTGTCTGAGCCCGCGGGTTCGAGACCAGCCCAGGCAACTTGGTGAGACCACATCTCTACAATAAAATCAAAAACCAGCTGGCAGCAGTAGCGTGTGCCAGTAGTTCCGCCATTTGGAAGGCTAAGACAGAAGGATGGCAGGAGCCCAGCAGGTCAACACTGGGGTGACCATGAGCGCCACCAGCCTGGGCGACGGAGTAAAACTCCAACTCAAAAAAAAAAGCAATAAAAATGAATGATAAAAGTATAATTAGTGCTGTATTAGTTGTAGAGAAGCTATAGTGAGTAGTGATTAAGAGCATGAATTCTAGAGCCAGACTGCCTGGGTGCTAATCCAGGTTATTGCTAGTTACTAGGTGTACAAAGCAAGGCAAGTCACATCACCCCTGGGCTTGTTTCTTCATCAAAAATGGGGATAATTACAATGCCAACCTGGCAGAGCCGCCATATCGAGAGAAATGGGCCGATATGTATGAAGAACCATGAACAGAACCTGGAGCATGGTCAGCACATGGAAAATTGGGCTGTGATTATAATCTACTCTTAGTACATAAAGCAGACCAATATAATGGGACATATTCCATAGGGGTGCTCCCAAGACCCGTGTGTGGGTCTCAGCTCTGTACCTGACCAGCTAGGAACCTTTAAGCAAGCCTTTTCACCTCCCTGAACCTCAGTTTCCTCATCTGAAAGACAAGAATAATACCCATATCCCACCAGCTCCCAGGCTCACAAACAAACACACACTGTGTTCAAACGTATAATGCCACACACCCATGCAAGGTGCTATCTGCACAATTAAGCATGCAATCCTTACGGTTAAAATGGTTGGGGTTACAAACGCCCAGCAGACTTTCCAGAAAATGTTGGGCTGGAATCCAATCATCATTTCTATATCTTCACAGAATCTTTGCAAGCCTGCAAATAGACAAACAGAAACCAAGTATGAGGTACAGTGGCAGAGTGGCAGAGATGGGGGGATCCAGGCACTAGAGCCCCTCACTCAAGTGCCATCGGCCAGTAATGACTCCAGCCTGGTGTCAATATGACCCCTACCGTGCAAGGAAGCACCAGACAAATGACTCACTGCCAGGAAGATCAGGACAAATTGAACATTTAAATAGATATTTAGTATACTCCGCAGTGAGGTTCAAAAATGTCAGCCTATGGTGACAACTAAAAGCTCAGTTTCAGCCTGGCCCAGGCATCTTAGCACTGCCACAGCCTGGCACCCTCACATGCATGGCTATTTTCTAAGGAAGCCCTGTGTGCTGAGTGATAACTCTGGCAAAACCAGTGAAGGTTGTGATCACAAGCAGAATGTCCTCTGCAAGCCTTAAGATTTAGAGTAAGAGTCACTGAACACTGGTTTTTGTCCCCCACTCTCCCAAGGACACCTCCAGGGAGTCCATTTATATTTGCACAGTGCAGGATGATAATATCAGGCAAAAACCAACATAAACTCCAAATGGCCATCGTCCACCCTGTTGGAACACAAAGAATGTTTTAATTTTTTATTTTATCATTTAATTTGTGTGTGTGTTTGCATTTTAGCGTCTATCTTCTTCGTGACCCCATGTGTATGTAGTTCCATTTTTGAAGTTCACAGTCACGCCTTATTCATGACATTGTTTTTTGACAGCCCATACATGTGTGGGCAGCTGTTTTCAATTACGAAGCACACGAAAAGCAAAATTGGAACAAACATTTTTAACGAGCACCTTGAGAACTCACTAAGAATTGTGGCCACTTCCACCGAACCAGACTTTGTTAGATTATTTCACAAAAACAAGGTCAAGTTTACAAGGAAGGTTTTAAAATCACCCATGGAGGGAAAAAAGCCATTGAGAAATAGCAGTTTCTTGCATTCTCTCCTGAGCCAGTCAGAAGTGTGGCTTTCTCAGGACTGTGGAATCAATATGCTGACAGCCCCTGAAAGGCCCCTAGGTTCAAACCCCCTTGGAGTCAGCAGTTTTGACTCAAACACAGTCTCCGCTTAAATATTCATTATTCCTTAATCCTCCAGGTCATTCACATGAAAAGTGGCTACCTGCAGGTCAAGAAGGACTGGCTGACAACTCCCCTGCAAGCCCTCAGACCTTCTTTCCTGACCTTGGCTGCTTGTTCCTCCCATGCTCAGGCTTTCCCAGCCCCCTTGGATTTCTGTCCTTTGCCCTGAGTTCCATGAGGGCAGATGAATTCGGCCTCCAGGGCTCTTCTTCCCTTCACGTGTTACCCCTTCCACTTCTGCCATCTCCTTCCTGTCCACCATCTGCACCAGCTGCCTTACCTGACCAGGGCCACCTACTGCCCCCACCTCAGCCCCCGCTTATCTTTCATGGTCCTGTGTTCTCAGCGCCCACTCTCTGCTATGTGGAAGTGGGAAAGGCTGGTTTCCCCACTTCCTTCCAGGGAACAAAACAGTTCAACTCATTCCCTGCAACAACAACAAAAAAAAGGTACTGATAATGTTCTAGATCTTGATCTGGGTGCTAGCAACATGGAGGTGAAAATTCACCAAGCTGTACACTCAAGGTGTGTGCTTGGCCAAGAAAGGGGAACCTTAGTGCACTGTTGATGGGAATGCATAGTCATTATGGAGAACAATATGGCAGTTCCTCAAAAAAAAAAAAAAAAAAACTAAAAATGGAGTTATCATATGATCCAACAATCCAACTACAAATCCTTTAGATATATACCTATACCTATATATCTAAAGGATTTGAAATCAGTATGTCACAAAAATACCTGTCGCTTCATATTTACTGCAACAGCAATGGAACCAATCGAAGTAACCATCAAAATGAATAAAGAAAATGTTACACACACACACACACACTGGAATACTATTAAGCCTTTAAAAAAGAGAGGAAATTATGTCACTTGTGACAACATGGGTGACCCTGGAGGATATTATGCTAAGTAAAATAAGTCAGGCATAGAAAAACAAATACCACATGTTGTCACTTATCTAGAAAAAAAATTGAACACATAGAAGCAAAGAGCAGAATGATGGTTACCAGAAGCTGGGGAGTCGGGGGAGGAATTGGAAGATATTAATCAAAGGGTACAATGCAAAAGTGTGGTTTATAAAGGCAAAAACCACAAAATTGTACAGGAGAAAGTGATGGGTCCGTTGAAGTAAGTCCCTTACTTCCTAGTTCAGGATCTTTTGGTTGTAGGGAGTTTGTTATGGGCTGATTTCTGAGTCTCAAATATGTTTGTTGAGTTTAGAATAGTAGTCACTACTCTGGTCCTCCTGTATCTCTGGGCAGCAAAAGAGCTCAGCCAAGGATGTAGAGCTTAGCAGTGATCTTATTCTTCTCAATGTTTTAAGTGTGTTTCCTCTTCCTTGGTTGCTAGTTGGTAAGTCCCATGGATAGAACAAACTATCCCTACACTCCTCACTTTTCTAGGAGCCTGCAGGGCATACAGTAAGCACTTAATAAAGACCTGTTCATTTACTCACACCCATTTAATAACTACCTGAGTTATTAATGGATGGAAACCTCTCATTCCTAATGTTTACTGAGTCCCAGAAGATGGGATTTGGGAGCCTTATACCCTGAAATGGGAGGGGTATACAGTGACATTTCAGTCAAAAGCATAAGTGAAAGTGGGACTCCAAGAGAAGACTCATAACAGAAAAAAAATAAGCTTGAATTCATAGAGTCTTGAGGGGAGTTTTTCTTCATTTTTTGTTTGTTTTGTTGTTGTCGCTTTTTCTTTTCTGTTGAGGTCAGCCAGCAGGGTGGACAACAAGAACTGAAGACATATTCCATCATGTAAAAACCATTTCCTGGGGGGACTCTAACATCTCTCACAAGGACATGGTGAGATGCTGTCTGGGAGGAGGGATGTAAAACAAGTAATTGACTGACATGGAAAACAGATCAAGACCATTTCACATATCGAGATTGCAGGAAATACACAAGATAGAGCCAAGCAGTTAGCAAGCAGGAGGTTGGGGTGGTGGCTGTTCAATCACATGAATCCCTCAGCCAGAAGGCCCCTGTCTTGGCTCCAGGAAAATGAAGATCACTTTTTTAAAGTGACTCTACTTGGATAAAAGTTTATTAAAGGGATCACTTCTACCCCAAACTCAGGGAATTACACTTTTAAACGTGGGTACCTCGAAATCACATGTTGGTCACTGAGGCATGTTGACTTGAGAACTTCAACCAGCTATTTCAGTCTAATGATAACACTTGGGAATAGTACCCACCATATTTCAAATGTTTGAATGATACCCTCTAGAATATAGAGATTATTAGAAACAAGAAGGAAACACAAATGTCTATAGTTCACTTGCTTACTTGTTTTAAGTTCTGTGGCCAGGAAGGGAGTGCACCAGATAAGTCCAGTTCATTTTCACTCTCCATGTTCATGTTCATGTTCAAGTACCTTAAATGAACCTTGCGCTGGTCTCGTCATCTCAATATAGAATGCACTGTTCCCTGGGGTATAATTAACATATTTGTGCAGACTTTTCTTTTCATCTCTAACAATTATGTGAGCTTATTTCAACATTTCTTCCAGAGATTCACTTCTTAAAACTCCATCCAGATCAAAATCAGAGGTGCATACCCACATCGGGAGTCAAATTCAACCTGAGTCCAGCGCAGAGTCAACCTAATTCCAGAGGCAAGCCCAACACCAGCACTCTTAGAAACCAGGGGTGTTCCTGGGTGGTCCCCAGGGAAATTAGCATAGCCCAGGAACTGAAACACTCTGGTTTTATTTTTATTTTTTCTTTAGAAATAAGAAATCTACTACTCAATTTATATTGGGGCGGAGGGAAGAAGCTATTTGCCTTCTAAAAACAGAAAGATTAAAAGGTTTCTATTTTAATGATGTTTTAAACCACACTGAACAGCCCTGTTTTGCAGGAAAATACTGTGTGCAAATGTGCCCTTTGTGGCAATCAGCAGTTAGGATACAGGTAACAGAGGAGGTAAATGAGATGGCTACCTGCCCTTAGGCCAGTGCTGAATGTAAAGTACTTTCCTGACCTTGCCAACAGGCCATCTGGCAACCTCAGTCTACATGAAGATTCACAGGGGATCCCAGAAACCTCTCCTTGCCTCTCCTGGCAAGGATTTTAGCATCTGGGCACAAAGTTGAAATTCACTGTGATGGATTTCGCTGGGCTTCTGCCATTCTCTGCTCAGGTAGAAAGTACTTTGAAGCCTTCCCCTAATCCGACAGCAGCTCTTCAATGCAGCATCACTGCAGGGTCCAGGCTGTCTTATCAGCCAACAGTCCTGGCAGCTTAGTCTCTGATCTCATCAGGACAGCTGGCATGCCTGCCCCCTTCGATCGCCAGAAACTAAACTTTCCCTGCAGTGGGAACGTGCTCTCCAATCTGAGATAAATTCCCCTCCCACCAGCACCCAGAACTGACTACAGTATCAATCTATGTCTAGAGCACCAGGAGGCTTGCACAGAGCTTTCTTTTTCCATCTTGATTTCCACCACCTTTGTTTTCATGAGTTTTCGAGGAAAGCAAGAAGATGTTAAGGACCTACTGGGTGGGAGGTAGCAAATACATTATAGGCAAGATGCCCATATCAGGGACACCTGGTGGGGTGGGTGAGCTTTGCTGGGGCCCCAGTTTAAAGAACAGAGCTCTGCAGACCCCTTCTTTTTGGAAGCTCCCAGTGGTAAATCTGTGCCTCATTCATATCCTGCATTCCAAGTGATAGCCTACATTTCCTCCCAGCTTACAGCACGTTGCTACATCTTCGGCAATTTGAAGTCCAGTGAGATAGTCTAAACTGGAAATTTTCACCTTCTTGATATTTGCTATGGTGGCCCTAAGTATGAGAGGAAGACCTAGAGACAGTTCTGAACAGACTTCCAGACACAAAGAAGTCATAGTGCCTTGAATCAAAGAGAACTTCCTCTTATTGACTGGCAGTGTATACAAGGGACCAGGAGACACCCTGGTGAACCTCCAAACACATCCACACAAAGGGCAAAGATGACATCCGATGGCTCCCCATGCCCATTCTTCTTGATCATGGCCCTACTCACTGTGGGATGCAGGTTGCTATAGTGATAGTAGGAAGGTTAAAGTGTAAGAGAACTGGAAGTTTATTCTTGGGATAATCTGAGATTGAGATATTATACCACAGACTCCCATGATGTTGATAACCTTTCCTAAGGATCCACGAGCCAAGTGGTTTCTGTTCTTTCTACAGTACCCAGGGACCCATTCTGAAACCAGCCCTTACCTCAAGCTGCATGGGCACTGCAGCTGCCAAGACCAAGAAATCATGTCCCATCTGCAAGGTAGCCCTCCTCCTCCCTTACCTGCCATTGCCTACAGGCATTAACCGTTTGCATGCCAGAACGTGCCCAAAGGAATGTGCGAGTTTTAGGAGTTTCTGAGACAAAGTTTTCTGAGTTTCACCATCGGCCACACCTTTTGTGTCTTTATAAATCTGGACCCACAGTGGTCCTGAGGCAAGCTTGAAAACAAAAATGCAGCTTGCTTATGTTTCTTAAACAGCAGCAATTCAACCCTTTCGTTGTCTCACTAACTGGAGAAAACCTGCTTGCCTTGGGCGCCTTACTGACACTCCAGTTCAGCAGAAAGCATGGTGATTCCCTTACCATACACATAGGAGATCCCCACGAGCTCAAAAATGGCAATGATGACGAGGGCGTAGGAGGCAGCGTACGTGTCCACGAGCTGAAACATGTAAATGCCACCCTAGCAGGAGAGAGAAACAACCATCAAAAGGGTCCTGGAGCCAGGCGCTCTCTCCCCACTTCTATCAGCAGACCTTCTCCATCCTGGGGAGAGTCAGGTGCAAACAGGAGTCAGAGTTTCTCCCTACCTCTTGGTAGCGGTACACTGCACCTGGTTTGGTAAGTAAACTAGGAGACCTGGCCGTGTAAGCAACACAGTCCTTCAGCAGACTCTGAGCTAATGAAAAAAACAAGCACCACAAGGGGATCTAACATCTTATTCTTCAAAGGCAAAGGTCAACACCTGAAGATGCATACGTGAAAGCAGCCAGATTGCTTGATTTTTGCTTTAAGCAATTGATGACCATTTCCACCCATATATCTGCATTGCAGTGACCTTCACATGACCTTTAGGTGTCTTTGGGCATTTCTCACACATCCCTGCATATGTCTACCTCATTCTTCAAGTCTCCCTGAAATAAATGAGGCTTGGAGATCATCTCGGTCCAATCCATCATTTTATAGACAAAGAAACTAAGAGTAGGGGCTTGTTCGAGGTCACAAAAACAACAAACCACCATATATACTGAGTGAACTAACACTCGGTTTACCACGACACTCAGGAGTAGAAGAAACTCAAGTGGTGTAGACTCACATATCACAAGTAATTCGCCTGGAAATTCATCTGGTTGACAAAGTTGGATTTTTTTTTACAGTCTATTTTCTTTTCTAAAAAAATTTTTAGAGATAGGGTCTCACTATATTGCCCAGGTAGGAGTGCAGTGGCTATTCACAGGCATAATCATAGCTCACCGCAGCCTAGAATTCCTGGGCTCAAGCAATCCTCCTGCCTCAGCATCCCTAATAACTGGGACTACAGACATGTGCCACTGCACCAGCCACGTATTCTATTTTCTTAAAGTAGGACACACCTGCCTTGTTGGCTCAAAAAGGCTACATCTCAATTAGGAAGATATTAGGAGCATCACTGGTAGCCAAGATGACATATTTCCCTCTTTGGTCAGAATCCCTAATGAACTGGTGCCATCTACCTGGAAACAGCAGTGATTTGTCTATGACCATAAGGTCTGAGAACTACGGGTTGCAGGATAGACAGCCATCAGCACACCCTCCTCCACTCCCCACCACAACCCCAGCCCAGCTCCTGCCCAGCAGACAGCGCACCTGAGTGATCATTGGAAAGCCCATGATGAAGAAACAAATACAGCAGCCCAGAGTAAAGACCGGCTTGTGTGTGCGCAGGTACTTGGGGAACTCATCCGAGATGGAAGTCACGATGGTCTCGATGGTAGCAAACTGGAACAGTGTCAAGAAATGGGTGTCTAAATCAAACTGTCCCTCCCACAAAGCTCCAAAAAGCTTTTTGCATGTCCCACCCAGGAAAACTGTGTTTGTATTAGGTTTGGGTTTCAGGATGGCATTCCCTTGATGTGTCTAAAAGTCCTCACTAGGATCCAACCCTTAAGGCCAGCCAGGAGAACCCAAGTGAGATGTGAGCTTTAGAAACTGTGCCTGCAGCCCCCAGAGATGGTGCTCATACAGAGGGTGTCCCCCAAAACACATACATGTCTTCAGAAAGGAAAAGAAAACTTCATTAAAATTGTCATCCTCAACAAAATGAAGACAAGTCACATTTGACTTCTGCAATTACAAGAGGCGCTCTTCATACTGACCATCAGTGCCCAGGCACTTCTGACGATGGCGAACTTCTCTCAACATCTCTTAAACGTGTATCCGTTTTTTTGGCATCACTGGAATTCATCCATCAGGACATTTTAAGGCTCCCTTTGGGTTCATGAGATGTAAATTCCTCTCTTCCCATTTACCTCACATTTGATCTTCCGCAAAACCCACTTCACACCCAGCAACTAAACTCTGAGCACCCGTCAGCCTGATTTGTAGCCGTCTTGGCCCCACAACAATTTCCCTAAAACCGACTTCATACTATTCTCCCTTTCCCAGTCCCACAGAACTTGCTTTGGCAACATGATGCCAAGGCAGGAGGTACACAGGCTAAAACTTGGCAGAGAAAACAGAAAATGGGAAGGCATGGACGAGGATGGCTCCCTGGCACCACCGCAGGAGTCCACGAAAATGAAAGGTGACACTGAGCTCCCCACAGGTTCCGCATTGTCGGCACATGGCTCAGCGGAAATGTTCTGGTCTCCCTAAGCCTACTCTTCTGCCAAAGGCTGAACCCTGGACCCGGGAGAGGAGGTTCTTCAAGAGAAACCTGGGACAGGGATCGATGAGGAAGGGGCTCACCATGGTGTCAAGTCCAAGAGTGAGGAGCATCAGGAAAAAGATGATGGCCCAGAATGGAGAGAGGGGAAGCCTGGTTAAGGCTTCTGGGTAGACCACAAATGCAATGCCTGGCCCTGGAAGGAACGAGACAGATGATCACAGGCAAGCTCAGTGCAAGACCTAGCTCCCCAGACCCCCCAGGGCCTTCTCTCAGACATCCAGACCCTCATTTATTACTCATGGCATGCTGTTTCCACTGTTGGCTATTTTTTACTTGTCTCCATCCATTAGACCATACGCTCTTTGAAGAGAAGCACCAGGGGAATTAGGTTTACAGCTAGAGAAACTCACAAGAGAGACTCAGAGCCAACCCTAACGGACTCCATGGCCAGGCCATGTCCCATGCAAATGACTTGAAAATCTCTATCATTTCATTGAATGAGTTAAGGGAGAAAATAATAATTATCACCCTCCAGAGCAGGGGTTCTCAATCCGGGGTGATTTTGTGCCCTGCCCCCCAGGGAATATTTGGCAATGACTGGAAACTTTTTTTTTTTATTATCATTCTCACAACTGGGGTGGAACTGAGATGATGATTGGCATCTACCAGGTAGAGGCCAGGTGTGCTGCTGAGTATCCAGCCATGCACAGAACAGTCTCTTGTCAACAAAAAACGATCCCATCCCAAATGTCAAGAGTGCTGAAGTTGGGAATCCCTTCTCTGAAGGTTAGAACATGACCAGAATGACGTTATCTTCCCTTTAACTACCTTTCCTCCTTTTCAGCCCTCCATGAGAAGCCATTCACATAAAACATAAAACTAACACTTTTAGCATCTTTCCCTACTTGGAAAAGATGGGGCTACATCGGTTCAGAGGTCATTAGTTGGAGAGACAGGGAAGCATGGTAAGGGATCAAGAGAGTCTCTAAGGATCAGATAGATATGATCCAAATCCAGATTTCATGATTTAGCAGCTGTGCAACTAGCCGAGTTCTTTAATTTCTGTAAGCCTCAACTTTGCCCATCTGAAAAATAGGGATAACATTAGTACCTCTCAAGGTGGTCATGACAAACAAATGAGAAAACACAGGTAAAACACTGAGCCCAGGACCACCCTTGGAATATATATATTTTTTGAGTAAGAGTCTTACTCGATCACCCAGGCTGGAGTGCAGTGGCATGCTCACGACCACCCCAGCATCAACCTGCTGGGCTCAGGCGATCCTTCCACCTCAGCCTTCCAAGTAGCCAGAACTACAGATGCGTGCTATCACGCCGGGCTAATTTTTTGATTTATTGTAGAGATGAGGTCTTGCCAAGGTGCCCAGACTATTCTCGAACCTGTGGGTTCAGACAATTCTCTTACCTCAGCCTCCCAACATACTGGAATTACAGGCTTGAGCCACTGCACCTGGCCAAAAATATTAACTTATGTGTGGACTATGAACTTGGAAGTTAGTGGTCCTGATTCAGAAATTTCCCTAGAATATTTCATGTGGTCTTGGTGGGCTGCAGTTTTCTCTTCTACCCCAAAACCTTGCCAGGCATTCCTACCTGCCCCATGGCCTCCCTGGGAAGATGACCATAACCAAGTTTAGATGGCGAAAGACACAGCAGTTGTGAATTTCCCTATAAGGAAAAAACTAAATGATAATGACAGAGACAAGTGAACGTGGGTGCTGAGGTAATCACAGACTACCCACAACTGCAAAACAGGAATTGCAGCACCCAGATTTTTTTATAACACCAACACTTTTTCAAGCTGGAATTTATCAGGTTGTTAGCTCCTAATGTTGCCTAAGACACCCCCGCTTTATGCATTTGGTGAACAGACGGTAGAGGCAGTCTTAGAAGGCTCCCTGCATGAACCATAAAAGAAAAGTCTGTATTAAACTACAGTTCAAAATAGGTCTCTGATGCAGAACACCGAGGAAATTAGTTCAACGCTCTGGAGACCATCAGGCCCATAAAGCCAGCAAGAAGGTCTTGAATGGCCACTAGCAGAGGCCCTTGGCCGTTGCTTTAACAGGATTCAACCCTTTGGGTTTTGTTGCTTTTTTAAGGGGTGGAAGTGATTTCAAAATACTCAGTCTGCTTTCCATTTTAACTGCCTCCCTAAAGCATCCAGGCAAAAGCATTATTTTCAGGCTACACAGCTGACTCTACTTAGCCAAGGCGAGTGGGAAGTGGAGTCGTCTAGTGAATAATATCATCAGATATTTAAGGGCAGCTGACCTGTCTCATGGAGGCCAAGTCCTGCCTCTCTTCTCCTCTGGCTGGGAAGCAGCACAGCCTCCCTTCCCCAGACATTAAAAAACAGACTGTGCCTCTTATTAGCTGAGGACCCTAGGTGAGTCACCTGTTCTCTCTGGACAAACGTTAGCTTCCTTATCCAAGCCATGGAGACAATAATAGTGCCTACCTTTACAGAGCTGTGAGAATTAAAGGCATCAGTACAAATAAAGAGATCAGAACAAGCCGGGCTCGGTGGCTCAGCCTATAATCCCGCACCTTGGGAGGCTGAGATGAGTGGATTGCCTGAGACCACGTGTTCAAGACCCGCCTGGGCAACTTGGTGAGACCTCATCTCTACAATAAATAAAAAATTAGCCGAGTGTGGTAGCGCGCTCCTGTAGTTCCAGCTACTTGGAAGGCTGAGGCGGAAGGATCGCGGGAGCCCAGCAGGTTGAGGCTGCGGTGGCCGGGAGCAACCACTGCACTCCAGTCTGGGTGCCAGAGTGAGACTCCAACTCAAAAAAAAAAAAAAGAGATTAAAACAATTTAGAACATAGTAGGAACTCAGAAAACACAGACCATGATGACTCTTCCCATGAGAGGGGATCAAAGGGGCTCTGCACATCAGCAACTTGGACAGGGCTCCCAGAGATCCTTTTTTATCCTAGAGCACCATTAAAGACACAGCAGAGGGCTCTGGTCAATGCAATACAAGCACAGTCTGGGTGGCCACTCTGCTGTGACAGCTATCACAGATGGAATGAGTTCTCTGAGGATACGCCACCTGGACTTCCATGCCTTTGGGCAGAAGGGGTGGGATGCAGGCGATAGACAGATGGCTGGATAGAAGTGGGAGGTCAGTTTAGTATGAGAGGGCTCATTTTGATCCGCAGGGTCTCTGAACTATAAGGGAGCTTGGGAAGCAAGGCAGCACTTCCTGGTGGTCTGGTTAAGCAAGTCTATACCTGGGAATTTTAAACAGAATCTGCACATCGGTGCTTATCTACTCTGGTCTAACCCAGTCTCTCTGCTGTTGGATAGGCATCTCTGTATGGCATCAGACAGGATTCTGAATATGACTCCCTCCTCTGTAGCAGTGATGATGTCAAAGGTGGGAGACAGTGCTGAAAGACTAACTTCCCTGGAAGCAGCTTTTCTGGAATAGATCCCTGAAAAGAACATGCTCCTTCCCAATACCTATCACAAAAGCAGAGGACGGTTTGGTCTCATCACCAATCCCACCCTCAGCCCCTAAAACTTCTGATAAGGCCAAGATTTGGGGTGATAATTTTGACAGAAATGCCCACCTTTAAAAGGAATGGGAAACAAACTGGAGTGTTGGGCCATTAAGGAGAACCTATTTTGGACTAAAGACCAATGTTGGGTCAGCAAAAATGTACTGAATGTTTACATGCCAATGTCACCTAGCAAGGAGAGGGTGAGGCTGGGATTTAAAACAGGCCTGACCCCAAATCCCTGTCCTATATTCTGCATTCATTATACTGAGGTAGACAAGACAAGCTTATAAAGCACATATAAGAATATATGTAACTTCAACCCAGGCACAGTGGCTCATGCCTGTAATCCCAGCACTTTGGAGGGCTGAGGCAAAAGCATCACTTGAAACCAGGAGTTTGAGACCAGCCTGGGCAACATAGCAAGACCCCATCACTACAAAAAATTTAAAAATTAGCTGAGTTTGGTGATATGCACCTATAGTCCCAGTTATTCAGGAGGTTGAGGTGGGAAGAGTGCTTGAGCCCAGGAATTTGAGGCTGCAGTGAGCTATGATTACACCACTGCACTTCAGTCTGAGCAACAGAGAGAGTTCTCATCTCTAAAAAAATAATAATAATATATATGCAAGTTCAGATGAGACAGAATAGTTCTCCTAAAGGGTCAGGGAGATGGTCTTTGGACCACTGCCCCCTCTCCCACAGGGAATGAGACCCACTGTCCGTGTGCCGGTGACCAAGTATTGACACAATAGCTCAGAACCTGTAAGAAGTTCTCTTCTCCTTGTTAAAAATCAGAGGAACTGAAAAAATACTGGAAAGGAGAGATTGCAGAGGGAAGCACAGGAAACTGTCAGCTACTTTTGACACGCAGGCGAAACAAAATTCTATTTGAGTTTTAGCAACATCTCTGTCCCAAATCCCTTTCCTGCAGCAGGAGAGAACTCAGAAGAGTTGTGGCCGCTGGTTCCCAGTGAGCTTAGTAATGTCACAAAAAATAACAAAACGCCTCAGATCTGCTAGAAAGTGGGACAGAAGCTATCTGCTCCAGTCATTCTGCTGGGAAGAAATGAGGTTACAGGACAGCTGGGGGTAGCTCAGGCACTTCCCCCCAGGACAAAACCTTCTCACCCTCTCACTTTCCCTCCCTGCCTTCCAGGGTGTTGAGAATTCTCACCCAGGGAGGGGCCTTCAACTCATCTCCTGGGGCCTCTCTAATTTAGTGCACTGCTAAAGCACCAAACACCCCTCAGGATATCACACTCCCTCCAGGGAGAGATAATTACACCCCTGGAACCTGCTGGCTCTTTAACTCTTTGAGGCCCCTGGTACACCATCAGCAGGAGCTGAAACAGTAATTAATTATCCTTGGGGAGCCAGAAGAGATCTTAGCAGCCCACCATAAAAGGTGACGAGGGCTTGGTTCTCTCACTGCATCTGAGCCATTATCTGAGGACAGCTTCTTGAAGAAGGCTAACTGCCCAGAAAAGCCTCTCACCTGCACACCTCTGGACTATCCAGGTCCACAGTCATGCCCCACAGCACTGGGCACTGTCCCAACACACTGAGACATCTCATAAGTGGCTGATTAGAGAATGAGATAATGATAAACAGTAGCCAGAATGAAGTCCCTTGATCCCTAAAGGCTTCAAAATAGCCAAATTCTTTGTAGAACCAGGCTGTGTGGAAATGAAGAGTTAAATAAAACTCTCAAACAAACTCTGCAAAATGCTGTTCTAGAAATATGGATTAAATGAGATAAAAATGAAAGCTCTTTGTAAACGTGAAAATACCATACAAATGTTAGCCATTAATAAAAGGATCACTTGGGTAGAGAGCGAACACGAATTCCACATGCCTCTCCACCCACCCGCCACCATCCAACCTTTCTCCCCACTGGGGAAAAGAACTGCAGGGCCGCATTGCTAGCTAAGCAGAAGGCCTTGAAACATTTGACCTAACAAATCAGAAAAGTGCTTTGTAAGGAAAAGGCTCCTCTGAAGTCAGTGCTCTTATTAAGCCTCAGTTTCGACAGGTCCCTGTGTAAGGAATATCATCCTGGGGCGGACTGTGCCCACTCAGCTCCAGGGGCAATGGTTTGCCTAATGAATTCTCTATTTGTACCTCACAGGTTTAACCCTTGCTCACTCAGGCTAGAGCTGGATCAACAGGGACCAGCAAAGAAGAAGGAAGGAGAGAAAGAGGAAGGAAAGGGGGCTTTTAAAGCAATCCCTCTGGTTAGAGAACAGCCAGCTCTAACCCTACAGGAAGCTTCCTACTCCATCCAGTCTTGATCCCTCTGTAAACTTGACATGGGCTGCCCGCCTTCCATCCTGTTCCAGAAGGCCAACGTCCCAGGGTAGCATAAAGCAGGAGCCTATGAGGTGATCCTGGAATCTGCCCTGCAACTGTACTGTCCTGTACCTTGGTCCGCCACATTCTCAATGTTGACTTTGCGTTCGTTGGCCATGAAACCAATGACGGAGAAGATGACAAATCCGGCAAAGATGCTCGTGGCACTGTTGGTGCAGGTTACAATCAGAGTGTCCCTGGAGGGAGAGACCAGAGTTAAACACATTAGGATGGCTTTGTGAGTCGGGAGGACACACAAATATGTGCCTGTGTGTGTCCATATGTGTAGGCATGTGCATGTATGCATTTGTGCATTTCTCAGTGGGTATCCACCAACGAAACAAGCAGTCCTGACCATAGACTCCCTTGGGATGATTTTAAAAGCACCAAAGGGCTCAAAAATATTTCTCCTAACAGCCCTGATCCAGGTCTCTTGGCCAAAGCTCAGCCTCCAATGCTGTAGAACTGGGTTTCACTCAACTCATCCGCTATGATCTGAATGTTTGTGTTCACTCCCCCACCCCCAATTTTGTGGTGAAATGTAATCTTCAGTGTGACAGTATTAGGAGGTAGGGCCTTTGGGGACGGGATGAAGTCATGAGGGCTCTGCCCGCATGAATGGGGTTAGTGCCCTTATAAAAGAGGCTGAAGGAAGCATCTTTGCTATGTGAGGATAGAGCAACAAGGCGCCATATTTAAAGCAGAAAGCAGCCCTCACCAGACACTGAATCTGCTGGTGCAGATTCAAGTAGAACTTGTACTTCCCAGTCTCCAGAACTGTGAGCAATACATTTCTGTTATTTATAGCAAAGGTTGGTTAACAAACACAAAAGTACAGCTAGATAAGAGAAATAAATTCTAGTGTTCTATAGGATGACTCTATCAACAATTTATTATATATTTTCAAATAACTAGAAGAATGAGTTTTGAGTGTTCCCAATGCAAAGCAATGATAAAAGTTTGAGGTGCTAGATAGCCTAATCACCCTGATTTGATCATTACGTATTATATACAAGTATCAAAATGTCACACTATACTCCCTAAATATTTATAATTATAATTATGTGTCAATTAAAAATAATAATGAAAGCAAAAAATATGTAAAGAAAGGAAAATAAATTGCCCAGTATAAGACATTTTGCTATAGCAACCTGAACAAACAAAGACATTATTCCAGAGGCAGAGGCAAATCTGTCCATCAGAGCAGAAATTGAGGAAATGAGGCCTTGGAGGGCTCCAGGACAGGAACCATGTATGAGGGAACAGAAGGCAGTGGGATAGTAAAATGCCACCAAGGTATAAGGGTGGCCTGGGGTGGGGACACAAAGCTAAGGAGGCCAAGGTGGGAGGGAAAGAAAGAGAGCCCAGCATCTCTGCCTTCATTCCAGAGTCCTCTGCTGGCAATAGGTTTCCCAGTCTGCCTTGAGTCATACTATGTTCAAATGTGAGGTCATCACCAGATGGAGCCCAAGAGCTACACTGAAATCCTTGGTTCTCCCATGTGTTAGGGTCATGACCTCGAGCAAGTGACTTGCTTTTCACTGACTTAAAATGGTGGCAACGGCCCTACCTCTCTCTCACAAGTTGTTATAAGGACGGAATGAGATAACACCATGCACAGCCTGGCACAGAGCACGTGTACAGCAAACCACTCACTGTGTCTGACCCCTCAGTTTATTGATGAGGAAACAGAGTCCCAGGGGAAGGTCATAGACTGATTATAATGGGCCAGGATTTGAATCTAGACTTTCTCTCAGCCGGTTCTTTCTGCCACACCACACAGCCGCGTTTCTAATAAACAACATGGCAGCGCTTCACCCTTGACCGTGTTCAGACTAATTTGGATCAACAGTTAGTGAGCAGTTGTGAACAGAGACGTTCAAACACCTTAGTCTGTCATTCAAGGCTATTACAGGGTGAATCATGTCCCCTGGCCTCTCACCAAATTCATATGTGGAAGTCCTAATCCCCAGTATTTCCGAATGTGACTGTATTTGGAGGTAGGGTCTTTAAGGAAGTAATTACATTAGGTGAGGTCATTAGAGTGGTGTTCATCTAATATGGCTGGCATCTTTATAAGAGGAGCTTAGGGCATAGCCCCACACGGAGGGAAGACCATGTGAGGGTACAGTGGGAAGGTGTCCATCTACAAGCCAAGGAGAGAGGCCTCAGAAGAAACCAACCCTGCCAACACTTTGATCTTGGACTTTAGCCTCCAGAACTGTGAGACAATAAATTCTTGATGTTTAAGCCTCCCAGTCTGTGGTATTTGTTAGGGCAACTCTGGCTGACTAACACGGAAGTTCTTCAATCTGGCCTCTACTAACTCTCAGGCCCCAGCAGGTATGTTGCATATACCTGCTGCAACCCCATTTACCTGCTTCCTCTACACATGCCTGTCACATCCGGTGCTGTTCAGCCCTACTTATGGCCACTGCTGGATGTCTCCTCCCCTGCACCTGCTACAATCCAGCCCAGTCCCGATCACCTTCTATGAGGTCATCCCAGGCCTCCCAGGCCACTACTTAACCACAATCTTTTCCTCTAGTTTCAGAGGTGCTTGGGAAATGTTTGACCCTTAGTCACAGTTCTTGCAGTAGCAAGTCAATGAATGGATTCTTGTGGTGACTGTTATAGACTCATGATTGATCCAAGCTACAGCCCTGCGCCCTCCATACCTGGTTGCTAGGATTGCTTTGTGCACGAGTTAGTATGTCTGAGCTGCAGCAGCCCTAAAAATGGGAGCTGGGCTGCATCCCTCCAAGGGCCAGGTGATCAGAGGTATTTAAGCCAAATAGCAATCCTTGTTCTCATGTGACCAGCTCTCATCATCATCTTGTACTCCCAAATGAGAGGTATGAAGTGCTTGGGAGATCAGAAGCTGAGTCTGGGGACCTGATGACTCAAGTTGCCAAGCCTAAAGCTATGTGTCCTCTTCCATATTTGTTCTTAAAATCAAGTAAACTTGATTTCATATTCAGTAAGCCTATCGTGTTTTGTGAGCTTAACTATCTGAACCTAAAAACCACCAGTGACCTTGTACCTCTTCAGCTAGACCATAAGCTGTTTAAGGACAGGGACATGTTTTGAATCGTTCTGTCTCTTTCTTGTTTCACAAAGTATCTCAAAAATTACCTCTAAAGGTTAGTAACCGTGATGAGGATAGCTGCCATTTGCTGAGTATCTATTATGTGTGAAATACTCCCAGACCTTTGCATATAACATCTCTAACCCCCTCACAAAATATTATAATCTGCATTTTCTAGACAAGAAAACAGAAGCCTAGAGGAGTATCTTGCCTACAACTTGGCGTTTTAGTACATGTTAAATTCAGAATCAGATGCAAGTCTGTCTGACTCCAATGTGCTCTTTATACTGTATCTCTTTTCTAACAGGATCTCTAGAAAAATACTTGTCAAGTGACTGAATGATCACACTTTACAAGTAACTGTCACACAATTGTATCCATGGGCTGGGTAGTTCACAAATAACTATCACAGGACACAATTGGCTACACAGCAGCCTTCAGAGAAACTCACTTCCATCCTATGACTAGCCAGTGAAGCCCCCTCATGCTTCAGTGCCAGGAGTGAATGGGGAGGAACCTCAAAAGAACTGGCATTTTTTTTATTTAAAAACTTGTACATTTATTCTTACAGTTTTAAACTTCAGCCACCTTCAAAGTACTCTCTGTTTGATGCAATACACCTATCAAGAAGCTTTTCCCACTGTTCAAACAGTTTTTAAACTTGTCAATGTCGATGCCTTAGTGCTTCTGCTGTTTTTGGTTTCAACTCTTCCACATTGGCAAAATGTTTCCCTTCGAGGATTTTTTTCATCCAGGGAAACAAAAAAAAAGTCACTCAGGGTAAGGTCGGATGAATAGGGAGGGTGGGGGGTGGAGGTCATGCTGTTTTTGGACAAACACTGCTGAACACTCAGCGGGGTGTGTAAATCACCCATCATGAAATGGGCAAACACATTGAGAGAATCTCCAAAAAAAAATTTACTGAAGCCAAATGTAGCCTTTCACAACAACACTAGCTGGAACACTGATGCCAATGGGTTCCTAGAACATTTGCCTAGAAGAGGAAGCCTGTACTACATACAAGGAGCTCAACCTCCAAAAAATAATTCTGGATTTTTTGGGGGGAGTCACCTCTCGTAAGTCTGGGTCCAAGTCTTCAGGAGACAGTGGCTAGGCTTTAGCAGGTGGTTTCTCCCAGGCCAGAGGTAAATCTCTAGTTCTACCTAGGGTGAAGTGTGAGGATGTGACCTCTGGTCTCCAATAACTCGGGCCATTGCTCCATCTCCAGATCCTATTCCTGCTCACCAACTCCCTCCAAACCTTGGAAGGGCCTTCGCTCACCTGTAGCAGTTGTTGTGGAATTTGTTGTAAGAAGACAGAGTGATCAGGCCTCCCCATGCAGCAGATAAAGAGAAGAAAATCTGAGTGGCAGCATCTTTCCACACCTGGGAGGCAAAAGGAGAGGAGATTCGAAGTCACTGAAAGAGACTGGCCCCACGAGAGGGGAGTCTCACACATCAATGCCACATCATCTTCCCAGAGGCACGACAGCAGGGATAAGATGACTCATCAACGAGGAACATAGCTCCCTTGTGCTGGAAGTCGAAAAGGCAGTAAATTATCTGGGGGATTTTAACTCCCTCCAATCAAAGGTGAGAAACTCAGTAAACTCTGTGTACATTTTATGTGTATGTTTTCTCTCATGTAAAGCCAAATGGGAGTGGAGAGCCTCTTTTTTTTTTTTTTTTGGTCAATACACTCTCAGAAAATAATTTACAACAGCAAAATATATGCACGGATACCAAATAAAAACTCTTTAACTGACATTCCTACAGAAATTCTAGACCGTATGCTTCGGCTCACACCTGTAATCTCAGCACTTTGAGAGGCAGAGGTGGGAGGACTGCTTGAGCCCTGGAGCTTGTGTACAACCTGGGCAACATAGCAACCCTGCAATCTCTACGAAAAATTTTAAGATCAGCTGAGCATAATGGCATGTGCCTGTAATTCCAGATATTCAGGAGGCTGAGGTGGAAGGATTGCCTGAGCCCAGGAGGTCGAGGCTGCGGTGAGCCATGATCATGCCATTGCACTCCAGCCTAGGTAACAGAGTGAGACTCCTACTCAAAAAAAAAAAAATCTGAAATACTGTAGCTCCTAATCTTAATAAAGCAACTTCTGTGTCACTGCAGAGTGGACTTTTCTGCCACATCCCACATTCAGTGAAGATTTTTCATTATGTGCAATCAAGCTCAATCCTAGTCATGTGTTTCTAACATACTTCTGGGAAAGCAGAGCTTTGTTTTGTTTTCTTAAGTGAGAAAATTGAGTTCTCGTTCAACAATCACCCCCTTCACTTGGAGTGCTTTGGATTGGAAATTTCAGAGTGAGATGTGTCTGTATATATATGCAAAGAGAAAGTTCCCCCGTGTGCTGGCCCTGTGTAGGTGTACAGGAAGTATTCAGATGTGTCTGAGCCCTTTAAAATAGAATCGCCGTGGTTTACTAAGTGCTGTTATTTTCCAACCAGCCACACTCCACTTCCGACACACTATAATTGGTAACAGATAAGTAGTGTGAGGTGGCCCAAAGCTATTAAGGGGATTTCATTCTTCATTTTCAGCCTCTGCTGCAACCCCAGATGTAGGACAACTATTCCAGGAATCTGAAAACCCTCAGCAGCCCGTGTCTCATTAGATATTTCCTGAGTGCCTGATGTACCAAGATTATCAGGCCCTTGTAAAAGCATGCACTGAGACTCCCCCAGAGAAGAAGTCCAATCCTCCTGCCCAAGCACCCCAGAGCGTGACCCATCCCAGAGGGCTGCTCCCCCACGGGCCCACTATCAATAAAATCATAAGCCCACCGTGGCATCCGTGAGCTTCTCCCACTTGGGTGTGATGAAGTACCAGATCCCAGCTCCAGCTCCTGGCAGGGTGACCCCTCGGATGAGGAGGATCACGAGCACGACATACGGGAACGTGGCCGTGAAGTACACCACCTAGAAGAGTCACGGGCAGAGGGGCTGGAAGGAGCAGACCTGCAGAACGCACCTGTGCAAAAGTGGCATCACCCAAGAAAAAAAATGGGGCCTGCCACCCAGGCAGGAGCGCCTGACAACGAGGACATCAGGGTAGATCTCCCCAGACTCTGGCAGGGCTGGGGACCAGGAAGGGCACTGGGACCAAAGGTGAGTCAGAGAGACTCAGAAATAAAGCCTCCTGGGGGGACTCAAGGGTGTGGGGTAAGTCTACAGCCAGAAGGCTGGGCAAGGTGTCAGCCCAATCAGGTGATAGGCTATACAACTCCTTGAGAAACTACAGGGGCAGGGAGGAGGAGGGAAGGAAAGGAGAAAGAGAGGGGAAGGAAGAGAGAAGGGAGGGATAGAGAAGGGAGATAGAGGGGACAGAGGGGAGAGAGGGAGGGAAG